GTATATTAAGATAGTAATATTAGGACTCTTAAGTCTCCTATATACGTTCGAAGCCCTCTAAAGCCCCTCAGAGCCTTTCCTCGTTCCTTGTCCCTGACACTACCTATCGTTGTTAGACCGAGACGATCGTTACGAAAAACGATATCTATTCCCTTTTGGCAAAGTAAGTTTATTATGGAAGTTGATATGTTACTGCGATACTTACCCCAGCTAGATAAGAATAGAGTCACGTGCGGTGCGTGGAACCGTGGAGAATTCCTACCCGTTTGGGCGTGGACCGAACTGCGCATATGGACAATGTAGGAATAGGAACAGCGAGTCTATGCCTCCCCCAAGAGCGCTAGGATCTAAAGTTCCATAACATTCTTAATAGGGACCCCGCCAAATGGCTCGGATTAGCCGCTGGTATTATCCTTGGAAGACTGCGCCTTTGCACAGGAGCGCGATAAGACGCCCTAGTATATAGAAGGGGATATTTCCCAACTCTAGGAGGCTCCGACACCTGTTTTGTATATGAACAGTTAAGGGCAGCCCAGATGGAGTCGGTCAGTGTCATTAAGCGTCTTCGAGCCTCCCCAGCAGAGTCTTGGGTTCGTGCAGATGAAAGACTAGAACCATAATGCGGCCTACGACGAGACACCACCCGCCTACATCCACTACCGAATCGACTGGAAACTGATGATCAAAAAGACGGTGGTATAGTGATGTGCGAAAACGGTGTCCTAAATGTGCACAGAAAAGAGAGGAGAGGATGATCCGCCACACTCCACTGCGGGCCCCACTAAGCTTATAATGGTAAGTCTAGTGTGCTCATTCCGACCAATAGATGGCCTACCCAGGGAGGAAGCATGAGATACCGTATCTACCATACACCACAGCTACTGTCATTTGACTTCTTTACGCCGTGTTGATCCGAAGCTGCGTTAGCCCGCTTTCGGCGAAGCGTGCCGAGCTTCTTCCAACGTAGACCTGGCCCTCTCGTTTGCTTGTCATTCGCCCTGTAAGCGCCCCCTGTCTTGCGCGCTCCGCCAAAAATGGCTTCGGCAGATGGCCTTCCTAGGCAGCAATGGAACCTGGTGGACGTAGCTGCCAAACACGTCCTGCCCTGTCGGTTCACAGCCTGACCAGCAGAAAGCCGTCTGCGGCTGAAAGCTCGAGGCGCCTACGATGTCGTCGCTGTCGCAGCTTTGTGTTGCATCTGTCGACATTCTTCGTCGCCAGGAATAACGGCCGTGCTCCTACGGATGCGATAGACCACCTAACCACTGCCCTTCATGTCGTTGTCCGTCGTTTTCTCTCCGCTCGGGACAGCCTCGTCTCCTGCCGTTGAGTATGTTACTGTTCTTCCCAGGGACTCATGGTGACATAGCTATGTGCTCTGGATTGATTGAGCTGACACCGTGACGCAATAGTATCGTAGCCGTTCACGGACTCGGCGGCGATACCTTCGCCACCTGGACGCACCCCGAATCGAAGAAGTTCTGGCTGCGAGACTTTCTTCCCCAGCAAATCCCTGATGCCCGCATTATGACCTTTGGCTACAATGCCGACGCTGCATTCGGACAGTAGACCGCGGAGATTATTGATCATTCTAAAAGCTTGCTGGCAAGCTTGGTGGATAAGAGAGAGGAGCCGCAGGTATATCGTTCCGGTGAAGTGAGGAGTCCAAGAGATACTGACCCTGTATGCCAGGAGATGCAGCGCCCTCTTGTATTCATCGCCCACTCTCTTGGCGGGATTGTGGTGAAGCAGGTATGCTTGGGTCAGCGTTCTCGACACTCGATGTGTATCTGATTAGAGGTCCAGGCATTGTTCCAGGCACGGCTGGAGGCTCGATACCAGACGATCAAGGATGCGACTGTGGGCTTGATCTTCATGGGCACGCCTCATCGAGGCAGTGACAAGGCGGCGTATGGTAAAGTGTTGTCGAATGCCGCGCAGTTTCTCAGCCATCGTCCACCTCAGCGTCTTCTAACCGCGCTCCAAACGAACTCGGATGTCCTTCTCCGATTGACCACGGATTTCCGCTTCCAGCTACCTGACTATGAGGTGTATAGCTTTTTTGAGCAGCGGCCGCTAAAGGGTCATTCGAGTTTGGTACGAACACGCATCGCTGGTCGTGAAGGCTTATTAACTGATGGTGACTAGATTGTAGAGAAGCACTCAGCCCTCCTCGAGACGAACCATGAAGAACAGATTCCGGTGGACGCCGATCACCGCGCGATGTGCAGGTTCGCGACGGACCAGGATGTGACCTATGAGAGGGTGTACAAGAGAGTCAAGAGGATGAAACTACGTCCGCGGCATCTAGTAAATGAGCAATCAGGTTCATTTCAAGGAAGACAGGCCGATTATCCAGATACGTCGATGCCGATGCGTAATTTAGCGATTTGCCCTGAAGAAGCGGGACGACGAGAGGAGGCGCTGCTGCTGGCGCAGGAGCTGGTGACACTGCGGAAGATGACGCTCGGGGCGGATCATCCAGATACGTTGAGGTCGATGGGAGATCTAGCGGCCCAGTACAGCGACGTGGGGCGACGAGAAGAAGCTCTACTGCTGGCGAAGGAGGTGGTGGCACTGCGGAAGATGATATTTGGGGCGGATCATCCAGATACGTTGAGGTCGATGGGCGATCTGGCGGTTCTCCTGCGGTGTGGGACAACGAGATAAGGCGCTAGTGCTCGCAGAGAAAGGGGTGGCACACACTCGGCGCGTACAGTGGTTTTCAATTGCGGCTTCACCTTTACATACACACAAATTATTTTGTGCCTCATAATTCTGACTCCACGCTGACCTAAACTAGGCAGATGGACGGCTGCGCAAAGCAGCTGCTCTCTTCACCATATCACGTAGGGCCCATGAGCTCCTTTCTTGCCTGTTTTGCGATATCTGGTCATCCAGAAGCGGGCTGTCGGCTTCGGCAGACAACCCATCGATTCGGAATCGGAATCGGTTGATCAGCGTCATTCTGGAGATCAATGGCGTTCCCTTGCTTCATCAAGCACGCCAGACATGCTCTTTCATGGTTGAGGACCGTCGGCTCCTCGTGTATCAGCGCCAATGCTGTGTTGTACTTTAAGTAAGTATCTAGGAATTGACACACTTGGAGATTACACGAGCCGCTGAGTTGCTCCATTTCGTCGTTGTCGAGGACTATTTCTTCTTCGCTCAGATTATTCTCATCCTCCGAACTTCTATGGTCTCCGGCCGGAGAGCTCTCTCCTGGATATCGCACACTCGGTGTCTGACATTCGGGCCACCGTCCTAGAAGTTCGTCGAACGTGTGTACGTATGTGGCTGGGCTCCGCTCTTGGATCTCGCCCCTTTCATTAGGCTTATGATTGCAAGAGATCGAGGGAAGAAGTTGAGAGGTCTTGATCATCGCCTTGCTCACGTCGATGAAGCGGGAGTGCGACTCCGAGAAGACTCTCACAAGCAGGAAATATTGGCTCGTGCTGGAAGGCACAACTATGCAGTCGATCTCCACACGTCAGATTTGTCTGCCTCGAGACCTATTTCGGCGCCGGGCGCTAACGGGGTCATCGGGAATATGTCCGAAAACCTGGAGACGTCGTCCGTATAACGCGTCATGATGATGGCCGAGTCGCCCTGCAGACCCTGGAACTGAGATCCATCCGTACTGGGCACGCCCAGCCTTCCCTCGACAATCTTGAAAGAGAAACATTTCCGGACGGAGAGCGGCTGGTTAATATCAATCCAAGGTGCCACCACGGCGAGGCTACCGTGCTGGATCGCAATGGCCGTCCGGCCGATCGCCGCCTGGTGGATCGCCTCTGATTCCCTGCCGGTCTTCTGGGCGTAGCCCTTATCGATGAAGGCGAGCACGTTGGCTGCCGGACAGCCAAGCACGACGCGCGAGGCAGTGTCAAACCAAGCACCCCATTCCATGAAACCCATGGATATGTCCCTCAGAATACGAGTGACCCCGAAATCACCCAGGACTGTCCAAGAGGAGCAGTCATCCGCGCCAAAGGCGTCTGCGATGCTATGGGTGATGTACGCCATGGTCTCCATGAAGGCTGTATGCCGAAGGCAGCCAGATTTCAGCGCCGCTACCTTTGGAACCGATGGCGAGGACCTTTGGCAGGCCCCACATCGACAGCTTTTCTTAACGCTCTCCAGCAAGTCGCGTAACACCGGGAAACTGCCAAAGTAGAATCCCTGGCTGTCCTGAGAGTTGCTGTATTCGTCTTCATCCAGGTACATTTCTTCGTCAGAGGCCATATTGTGCTGCATTTCATCCTCCCCAGCGGGGAATGATGTGGTAAACACTACCGTAGCCGCCTTATTATGCCGCCAGCCCATGTTAAGAATAGAAGGGACCCGGCCGAGAAGATCCCGAATCTCAAGCTTTTCGACGGCTGGCTCCTGGTCGAGGACGACACGGAAGAGCAGTGTACTACCACTCGACTGGCGAATAACTCTTAGGCCGAGAAGCCAATTGACGATCTGGAATGCTGCATTGTGCACATTAACGCGAATGCTCTCCCTGCCTGCTGTGCCTGGTGGGTATTTGGCGGGCTGGTAGAGTCTCTGGCGGACCCTCGGGGCTTGTTTGAATGTCCAAGGTGTGTCATAGCGGCCTTCATATAGCGACTCGAGCCCGCTGGCCTTAGCCATGAAGATGTTGACGTTAGAGAAAGTCATCTTATCCGGTGACTCGCAAGTGCCAATGTTGGGGCAGAAAATTTCAACTCGATGTTCGATCTCGCTGTCCTCAGCGCCGAGGACTTGGTCGTAGATGATTTTTCCACTCACGACAATACGAAGGTGGCCCTTGAAGTGGAAAATCAGCCAAACAATAAGGTTGCAGATGAGATGCTTGCTCTCGATAATAGCCAGGCCTCTGAGATCGCGAAATCGGTTCAGCACCATGCCGAGATCTTAATTCTCCAGCTTGTGGCCCCGAGGACACACTTTTTTGATTTCGGGAGGTAGAGGAAGGGCGGTTAAGTTTCCTGACGCGCAGTCAGGCTGGATGACGCCAGAATTCACGATGTTGAACCAAATGCTCGAGACAATCTTGTCTAAGACTGGCTTAAGCTGAAGATAGAGTGCATCCCATTTGTACTCGTGTACAGTTATGATCCTTTTTCCTAAATGGCTTTGCATGATAAAGGCGCAGAGAACGTCGGAGATGAAATTCTCATCATGAAATTCGAAAAGGCATGTGATAGTCGACGTCATCCAGCGTAGATAGGGGTCTTGCGCCATCAGCCGGCCCAGGGATCCGGACGATTGCGTGAACAGATAGCCGGCAGCACGTTTGGGCGTGTGCATACCGGAGATGACGGCCTCGTAGAATTTGTGGCCTTGCTGGTTCGCCTGCACCAGACCCCGAGCCTTTTCGAGGCAATTTTGAAGCCGGTTCTCGCTCAGTTTTTCGCGTCCTAGCCACCGGCCTATCTCGATGGCCAGATTGAGGGCACTCTGTTCCTTTGTGGTGGGTTTGACAAGTGTAGTCAACAAGTCGATACTGCGCGCCGAGATATCTAGACCTCTAGCTACAAGATCCGAGCCGGCCATGTTTGAGAGATGAAGTCCAATTTTGTTCAGATTAATGGACAGGCTTCGTGGTCAGGCTATCCAGGATGAATAGTAGTTAGGCGATGAAGTTAATCAGGCTGTCGGTGGGGATACTCAAGCAATGGGGATTATAGAATGATCCGACATAACCTACCTTTGTCTTTATCGATGGCTCCGAAACTAGCTACTTCTCGGCATGACCAGGTCAGAGGTATAATTCTAAGCGGGATAAAAAAGGAGCAAATTTCTCATGCCGTTGGATGCAGCGAGCACGCTGTCTCGAGAATTCGATCGAATCCACGACTCTTTAGCACAACGAAAGCCGACCCCGCACCTTTTGATATGAAATAACGCCAAGCTCATGTATTTGTAAAATGATGTATTCGAGCGTTCTGTAAGCACGTCACTGATTGGACTCTTTAGCAAGACCTGATTTAACTATAAGCAGAATAGTGTAGCTCTAGGTGGATCAACTCCACCTAGCTCACAGAGCATTTATCTAGTTCGAATAGGACACCGTTTTCGCACATCACTATATCGAGAAATACTATCACGGCCGTGAGCACAGATAGACTAGATCTGACCAGATCTAGCTAGATCTAACCTAACTCGACGATATATCCTATACCGATTAATATTACGTTAAGTATAGACGAACTATAACGGGCCGACGTTATCCCGGACGAGATATAGGATAAGCGTATATCTCTAATTAGTTATATAGGAAGAGCGGCTTAATATACTAGAGCCTTAGTAAGGATAGTCGCTATATAAAAGTATAGCGCCGTACCCTTTCCTTCCTTCCTTTCTTCTTTCTCTTAGTTTAGTCTCTTATTATATAGGAATATATATCCTTAGAGTCTTCTCTATCTTATAT